TCTCTGAGGCATTGTGGCGTTGTTGTATTTAGATCTCTGTTAACTGTTTGTGAAGAGCAGCCAAGGGTGATTCAGGCTCTTCTTGGTGGTTTTTTATTGTTGGCCCGTTGGTGGAGAAGGAGGTAGTGGCTCTCACTCAGTAAGTGAAGTTGCAGGAGGTGTGGGCGTAGTTGTCTTACGGGGACTGTTGTCTTCCATTCAATTAGACACAAATTACAATTGAATAACCTTCAAAAAACTAAAAGCACAGGGGCAAAAAACACATCATGTAGTCCCACAGGAACAGTAACCAAAGAAGGAAAAAAGGGAGAAAGAAGAAGAAAATACAAGAAAAACTACAATATCTGGGGATAGGGCATTAAGAGAAAAAAAGTAGATAAGGAGAATAATGAAGGAAAAGAAAAATGGGAAAAATGCAAAAAGGAAAACAAGGAATGGGGTTAACCATGAGAAAAAAATGAGGGGGAACTTAAATTAAAAAAAAAAATTTCATTCCAGAACAGAGAAAATAAAAAATGCTGAAAACTAGGACCTGGAAGAGGAAGATTAAGAATAATAGTAAAAAGGACAAAAATATGAATATTAATAGTTGTTTTAAAAAGACAAATACAAGCAAACTAATCACCAGAAAAAAGAAAGCGAAAAAGAAAAAAAGTAAAAAAAGAGAGAAAAAAAAAAAATGGTGGAGGACAGGGCAGGGCACCCAGGCTCCATCTGAGCGCACAGACTGTTATGGAGTTCTTGTGGGCCCAGAAGGTAGGTTGGAGTGGGGGATGGCCGCACCTCCATTCACCAAGCAGGTATGGGGTATAATAGTAGCAAGAGGAATGTTGTACCTTTTCAGTCTTGCAGGTCTGGAGGGTCCTTGGGGTTGCTGGAAAACAGAACATGTTCTTATGCCCCAGGAATCTGTGAGTGTGCTGTCTCTTTAAATATCCCAAATAGTCGCTTTTAGACCTTCAAAATGGCATTGCCCTCCGGACCGGCAAAAGTCCACAGCTCAGCTTGCCTTTCTCTTCACCTTCTCCGTTAATTCCCCAGCCACCGGAGCAGTCCTCTGTGCAGTCCCTGGCTAGCAGGGCTGATTCTTAGGTTAATTCATGAGTCCTGCTAGCACTCAGGAATCTCCAAGCTGTCTGTGCCGTCCCGATCGCTCAGGATTGCTGCCAGACCGCAGCTCTGTATGTCTCCTTTTTGGTATTTTCACGCAAATTCTTCTGGTAGTTTAGTCCACTTCTGTGTCCTTCCCTTCAAGGCTCAGGGGTCCACCATTATCTTCTGTGTCTGTGTTAATTGGTTTCCCTTTTCTTTGTTGAAGAAGGTCTGTGCAGTCTTTCTGCCTAGTCGGCCATCTTGCTGGAACCCCTGTTGTGTTTTTTCTTAAGGGTGGATTTGTTTGGGGGGTATAGGAAGGACAGTATTTTTGTTTTTATACCCTAGATTTTCACTGTGTGACTGGAGAAACAGGCATTTATATTTTCTTCTAGCTCCTGTGATTATAATTTCCTTTACTTTGTGTATGGTGTAACGTAGATTTTGTTTTCTTAAAATCATGTTAATCTTTTAAAAATAGTTTGCAATAATCTATATGGGTAGGGGGTGGGGTATAAATTGTTTTGAAGGTAAGCAGAAAATTGTTTTATCTACTGGACTAATTTTCAGTTAGCAATTGAAAAAGCTAAAGAAGTTTTTTCATTTTTTGTACAAAAACATTTTTTGCTAACAAAACCAGACCAATTTAACTGTAATTTCAGCTTTTCATGTTGATTTCTTTTAAACAGTTATGTCTTCAGACATGGCTTTAGGTGACATTTAAGTAAGAAACAGTCAAAGCAATATTCAGGGTGGATTTTTTTTAAAATCTAGTTTTGAATTATTTTTAGCAGTCTGATTTTATTAAAATATTGATGTGACTTCTAAAAGGGAATCTTGCTTCTTAGACTTTATGTATAAAACCACAAAATGTGTTTTCCATATGATTAAACAGCATTGAGCATTTGTCTAGTTGTGAAAACCATGATATGAATTCAACTCACTTTGCTTTTCAGGGCCACTTCATAAATTTAATAGCTTTCTTACTTTGCAGAAATACCGTTATCAGGATGAAGATACACCTCCTCAAGAGCATATATCCCCACAAATTACTAATGAAGTGATAGGTCCAGAATTGGTTCATGTGTCAGAAAAGAATCTGTCTGAGATTGAGAATGTCCATGGATTTGTTTCTCATTCTCATATTTCGCCAATAAAGGTAAGATAATAATACTGTTTATTTGTTGCTGTGCATTATATATCACTTTTTTTTTTACTAGTGTGACTCATGCTCAGAACTGTTCTTCCATGTAAATTTTCCTCTTGTTTTTATTTTTGTAGTTGTAGAGAATTGCCTAATTCTTATTAGCATTCTAAGTAAGTTTTTCAAGATGTATTTTACAAATAAATTACTATCTTTAATTCTGAAAATTCCTGTGAAGGCAATAACTATTATATTTCAAATACTACACATTGAAATATTTTGAAACATGTGTTTTAAGTATTAGTAGGTATAGAAAAAGCATTGGAATTATCTCTGAAGTCCATCCAGTATGTGACATTTCCTGATTTCATCCCTTTTGCTTTTTGAATACCCCTTTTTTATATAAAAAAGGGGAATTCTCAGAAATAAGAACAGTCCTAAATTAGTTATTTTTCTTTTCGTTATAGTTTCACCACAGATTTGGATATTTAATTTATATATTTAGGTTTGCATACTTTTGAACTTTATATAAACTGACTCATACTGAATATAATCTTCATGTTACATTTTTGCTCAGCATTATATTCCTGAGATTATTTATTTTCACTGCTCTAGAGTTTTCTGTTTTATGAATATTTGATTTATCTTAACTATTGTTGGATATTGGGTTATTTCCAAATTGTTACTAGTATAAAAAGTGCTGCCCAAAGCATATGCACATCTCTGTATATAATGCTAGATTATTTTCCAAATTTATTAACATTTTCAGCAGTCATATATAAGAGTTTTGGTTTCTCTGTATTCTCAACAGTATTTGCTATTTTTATTTTTGCCATTCTCTTGGATTTGGAAGGTATATCATTGTGATTTTAATGTATATTTTCTGGTTTATTAATAAGGTTGGAATTATTTATTGGTTATTTACGTTCCTTACTCTGTGACATACGTATTCAAGAATTTTGCCAATTTTTGTATTGGGTTATTTTTGTTTTGTGATGTGTAGGAGTTCTTTGTATATTCTGGATCCTAATCCTTTGTTGGTTGTATGTATTATGAATAAGGACCATTCTTTTCTTACTAATGTAGCTATCTGAACTTTGTTTTTCTCTCTGAGGAATGATTAAATATTACTGCTTAATTTATCTTTACCATTTAGATTTTGTGTTTAGGGTTAGTGTAACTAGGTTTTTTTTCCCCTAGGTGTTTGTCCATTTAGTACGTAGTTTCAAATTATTATTCATGAGGCCCTATTAAAATCTTCTTAATGTCTATAATTTATATAAGTGTGTCCCCTTTTTTATATGTTTATTTTTGCCTTCCTTTTTTTACTTTATCATTCTTGCCAACGGGTGGTTAGTTTCAAAGATCGCCTCTTCAAAGAACCATTGTTCTTTTGTAAATCTTCTCTTAGTTTCCCAACCTATGTGCTGTCCTCCTACCCTTGTTCTTATACACACATGTACATCATAGATAGACATGTATATGTCCATATGTACCCACATACACATGCACATATATATGCACATAAATATATAAAAAGTATATATCCTACCTACCAATTAAAAATTGTGTTAGGTAGAATCGATCTGATTCTCCTTTAGGAAAATTCATATGAACTCCACTTGGTCATAATGAATGATTTTCTTGATATGTTGGAGTCTATTGGCTAGGATTTTGTTGAAGATTTTTGCATGTATATTCATGAGGGATATTGGTCTGTAGTTTTCCTTTTGAGTGATGTCTTTGCCTGGTTTTGGTATCAAGGTTATGCTTGCTTCATAAAATAAGT